ATCTATCTATCTATCTATCTATCTATCTATCTATCTATCTATCTATCATCTATCTATCTATTCTATCTATCCTATCCTTCTCTCTCTCTCTCCCCCTCTATCTATCTTTCTTTCTATCTATCTATTCTACCTCTCTTTATCTATCTATTCCAGGGGTCTTCAAACTTGACAGCTTTAAGACCTGTGGACTTCAACTCCCAGAATTCCTCCTCCTCCAGTCATGTTAGCCCAGGAATCCTGGGAGTTGAAGTCCACAAGTCTCAAATGTGCCAAGTTGGAAGACCCTTGATCTACAGCTTACAGGCCAAATGTGCATTGCGCAACTTGTGAACCTTCAGGAAAGCAACACGGGCCAACTTATTTTCCACAGCACCACAAAGCAAGACAAGAAGCGACGGATGGAAACAAATCAAGGAGAGAAGCAACCTAGAATTAAGGAGGAATTTCCTGACAGGGAGAACAATTAGTGAAACGACTTGCCTCCAGAAATTGTGGGTGTTCCATCACTGGAGGTTTTCAAGAAGAGATTGGGCAGCCATTTATCCGAAATGGTATAGGGCCTCCTACTTGAATTGAGGGGGGGGGTTGGACTAGAAGACCTCCAAGGTCCCTTCCAACGCTGATGATATCCCATGTTCTACTGCAGGATGCTCAGGGGCCCATTCAAGATATATCCACGGACATAATCCACAGGCCACTTTTGGCCAAAGCAAACTCCCTTTCCCTAGCTAGAAACTGGATTCCATCATCCCAGCAGGCTTGGGCCAACCTGAGGTGACTCATAAGTGGTTGCACATTAAAAATAGAAATTCAGCAGGCCTGCAAGGATTTCGGTCAACAAGCAAAGCAAAAGCAACCAATTATTTGGTATCCTGGACAAACTCAAGCGAACCAAAAAGGGTTTGCTTCACGGAAAGCCACGGGGAGAAGAGTGGACTCTTTCTCACTCACTCCCCGGAGAAGCTGGAAAGACATCACAGATCTGCAAGGAGCACTTGCACTTAGTGATTGATGTAAGTTGGATGAGGGGAAAATTAAAAACAAACAAACAACTGGAGCAGAAATTTGCCAAAGGCGTAAAAACACCGAGAGCCAGAACTGGGTTCTATGCCATGCAGTTTAATCCACCTTCCGATGCCTTCACATCCATCTTCAACTTGTTCGCTAAGATGACTGACACAAGCCACAATGACGTGTCAGGGTAGCAATTGCATGACATCGTGATGGAGATGTTGTTCCCTAACTCCATTTATTTACCTGTATCCATTTATTTACCTGTATTTATTTATCTTTATTATCATCTTCTATCTATATAAAAGCAAAATACCACTCACGCATCATCACAAAATCTCCAGAACCGTAAAGCCTACAAACTTGAAATTTGGCCCATATGTTCCTCTTGGCTTCTAGGTGCTCACTAAGAGTTTTTCGAAATCACCATCAGAGTATTAGTATTTCCTATATTATTATTATTATTATTATTATTATTATTATTATTATTATTATTA